ACTAAGACACACAAGAAAATAAGCCACGCTCATGGATGTGGGAATAGGTCCATTCCAGGGTAGACGGAGGCACGCAGGTGTGGAGAGGACAGGCGGGGCAGCAGCATGTGTGTCAGATGGGATTTCGAAACTAACAATAAACGCAACACATGGGGTAAGCTGCTGCCACCTTCACAACCAAGAAAAAAGACAAACACCCAGAAGAAACATGCCAGCAGAGGATTCGAAGAAGAGAAAACACAAATGGCCAATAACAAGTCCAACCTCACTGAGGCTTTCCTAACCAAGAACTAGAAAATTAAACAAGTGTAAGATTTTTATGTGGACTCATGAAAGTATGAAGATTTTTATTTTCAATTTTTTGGAATTTTGTATTATTTCTACATTTCTTTAAGCAGTTTTTTTTGGGGGGAGGCAACATTTTGGGAATTTTCTCATTTTTCTTCGTTTTTATTTTTTCTCTCTTTGTTCTTTTCCTCTTTTGACTTCTCCTCCTCCACCTCTTCCTCTTCCTCCTCTTCTTCCCCTTGTTCTAGTTTCTATATTTTGCTATTTTTATTTCTTCTCTTTCATGGTCATTCTTTTCTGGGAGTTTTCCAACATTAATTTCCTTTTACTCCTCAATAAGGACCCTCTTCTCACTTTTCTCCCTTCCTTCTCATCTTCCATTGATTAATTTTTCAAGCTCTACTTTTGTCCATTTTCCCAACTCCTCTTTGTTAGTGTAACTGTTAAATTCTATGAGTCTTTACATAGCTAGCTATTGTTAGTGGCAGTACAGTTTTTCTGCTTAGCAGATATTTAATGTAGATCAGTATTTATTGATTAGTCTGGGCTGGGGAGATAGCTTAGTGGTTTAAACACCTTGCCAGGCAAGTGCAAGGACCTGGGTTCGATCCACCATACTGCGTACAATGCAGGCCCTGGAAATCCCAGCACATACCGGTAATCCCAGCACTGGAGAGGCTAAGACAGAAAGATCACTTCCCCCCACCCCAGGGATCAAACTCTGGACCTCACACTTGCCAGGCAGGCACTTAAGCTGCTGAGTTATATCCCCAGTCCCCCCAACCCCCATTAATCTTATAATCATTGCTGATTATATTACTTTAGCAACTATTTTTTTTTTTTTTTTTCCCAGAACCAGGGATTGAACTCTGGCCCTTGCGCTTGCCAGGGACGCGCTTATTCCACTGAGCCATCTCCCCAGCCCAACTCTTTGATCTTTAACAAAGGGGCCAAAAACTTACATTGGAGGAAAGATAGCCTCTTCAACAAATGGCGGATGCTGGGAAAACTGACTGTCCACATGCAAAAGACTGAATTTTTTTAAAAGATTTATTTATTTCATACAGGGTCTCACTATGCAGCTCAGACTGATTCATAGTGATCCTCCTGTCTCGGCCTCCCTAGCACTGGGAATACAGGCAGGTGTCACCACGCCTGATTTCAGTGGCCAGGACTGGCACAGGGATGGCACAGCACATGGAACCAGGGATCAAACCTGGGTCCTTGAACTTGCCAGGCAAGGCAGGTAGACCACTGAGCTATCTCCCTGGGCGGAAGACTGAATTTAGACCCATAAGTATTACCAGGTAGCAAATTAAAATCAAAATGTATCAAATGTCTAGATATTTTTAAAAAACAGACACAATCTACTGCAAGATAAAAACAGGTAAAAGTCTTTAAAATGGGTGTGTACAAGGGCTTTCTGAGCAGTGCCCCAGGGGCGCAGGATATAAATGAAGAATCAACACGCGGGATCACATCAAATTTAAAAGCTGCTGCACGGCAAAAGCTGCAGCCAACAGAGTGTAGAGACAACCTTAGGAGAAGCCTCTCTACAGGACTTTGAACTCGGAAATTCTGGGTTTGCCTGCCCTGAGAGTTTGTGGAGGTTTCAGTCTATACTCAGCTGGCTCTAAGGCACAGCGACACCTGGCAGAGGGCAGCCGCTCACAGCGGTGGAAGACAGCAAGAGTGAAAAAGGAGCAGCAGTGGCAGTGGCGGCGGCAGCCGAAACTAGGAAGAATTTTCCAAAGCCGATCTCAGGCTGGGTGTGGCGGTGCACACCTGCAATCCCAGCACTTGGGAGACTAAGGGAGGTGTGTGGCCGTGAGCTCAGGGCCCGCCTGCCTGATATAGGGAGTTTAAGGCCAGCCTGAAGTACACAGCAAGCCCTAGAAACAGATAGATAACTAAATAATAAAAAATCTATCCCAGCACTCTGGGAGGCTGAGGCAGGACGACTGTGAGTTCAAACCTATCCTGGGCAGTTTAGTGACTTAGTGAGACCATGTCATGATTTAAAAAAAAAAAAGGAAGGAGCACACTGCTCCAGCACTATCCGAGTCTTCCAAATGAACATTTCGGAAGGAGGACAAACTGAAAGAACAGATAGAAAACTTCCTGACAGGCATTCACTCCACCCCAGCTCGCAGCAGCCTCCTCATCCTCCACCCTCCTCCCCGTCCAGGCAGCACAACTCCCGCGCTGAGGCCAGTCAGCAGAAGCGGCAACCCCTTACTTGAGAAGGCAGAGCAGGCAGGGCAAGAGAGAGACTGACAACTTTAGGGGGACCCTACTATAATAGGTGGAGACTGGGGATGTTTTCACAGAGCAGAGCCGGAGAAAACCACGGTCATCCAGCAGGGCAGAACGGATGCCCAGAGAAGCCAAGGCGGGAGGGTGGGGTGACACTCTGGGCCACAGGTGCCAAGATGGGGTTAGGTGTGCAAGTAGGTCACTTGGGGAACACCCTTGAAGACAGAGGAAGAAGCAGGGGCGGCAGGAAGCCCTCCAGGCCACAATAGGGGTGCAAAGCCTTTGAAGGAAGAGACCAAGCCTCAAATTAGGGCAGCTCAGACCCTGCCAGGGTGCACCCTCTCTATCCCCTGTATGCCCAGGGCCTGGCTGAGGCAGCCATGCAGGGGAGGACAGGGCGGAGCAGGCTTTGGCACGAGCAAGGTGTTGGACAGGGAGGTGCAGTCACCGGAGGCCGGTCAGGCATGGGAAGACACAAAGGGGCCTTGGGGCTCCTAGGAGACTTCTAGACGAGGTGCCCACTGTGCCACAGGCCCACTGCGCTGCTACCAGCGTCTCCCTCTCCCAACCATATTTAGTGGCGCAGCCCAAGTCTCTAATTACTCCCTGCACAACAGGAGGGCTTGAAGTTGCAGTGTGAGCCACCCTTAGAGATTTTTGCATTCAGAAGTAACCTCCACACAGAGGTCTTGATACAATGTTCTGAGTTACACAGATGTCTGCATTTGCAAACACTCATCAAATGGAGCAGTTTTAAGAGTCACACATTTGGGGCTGGAGAGATGGCTCAGTGGTCTAAAGCACCTACTTAGAACAAGCTTAGGGCTGGAGAGATGGCTCAGTGGTCTAAAGCACCTACTTAGAACAAGCTAAGCTAAGCAAAAGCACAGCGCCCACAGTTCAATCCCCAGCACCACATGCCAGCCAGCCCCGTCCCCTGGTGGGCTGA